CCATTTATATAACTCCTGAAGCCTGGCTGGAAAACTCCCAGAGATGGCAGCATCCCATTTTGACTTGTTGCTAGGACATTGCTAAGGTACTCCCTGCTGTTACTGCTCCCCCACCATTACAGGAGCAAGCTCTGAAAGCTCTGCTCCTCCATCCAGAGTGGAGAGACTACAAGACAAGAAGTATGTGACATCATCATCGGTCAAAAATAAAGGCTACAAAAAGAAAGCTAATGCTGCCACCACATTTAGGAATTGGTGAACTTCAATATAGTAAACTTTTGTTTTTGGGTTTAATACCCTTTTAACTAAAGCTGACATTTTCCTTTAAAAAATCCCTGCCAATCCTGTCATGATGGTCCTTCTTCAGGTACTTCCTGATATGAAACCTCACCTGCTGCTGGTAAAGATTACAAGTGGCCATGCAAGCACACATTATGCATGGTTCACTATTCTTACTATCAAGAAGCTGGTCCAGAGAAATGGTGTGCAGCTGCTGCTGAAGCAAATGCATGTAGACAGGGGGTGGCTGAAAAAGGCTGGAGGAGATCAACAGCACTGAGATGCAAAAACAGGTGAAAAAATGTGAGATCAGTATTTTCTGGAATTTGTTTATGACACATAATGCTTCAGAAAACTAAGTGTTACCAAGTCGGGTATAAGGTCTACTTTAATCAAATACAGTATGGCAATCTATAGAAGTTATTCTGAGAACTTTGCATATTTCTCTAATAAAATATCTGCAACAAGATTTACCATTGTTACATGGAAACGTATAACTTAAATGAATTAAAAATAAACATGGTGTTTGTTCTGAAATGTTATGGGTGGCCTTCTTGTTGGATTCTTTGGTTCTTGGTTCTGGTGCATGTTTTGCATTAGCCAAAGAAGTTAAGCCATTTTAGAGGACAAGTCCCCAATGCCAGGATAAAAATGCCCATGTGTCAACTGTTGAACAAATTGCCAAGCAAACTTGATGAAGGGGCCCTGCAGGGCACTGAAATGTTTCTTATTTGCAATGTGATCTTAATGTTTAAATAAAGCCTTGCTATCAGATCTGAGGTGTACTGTTGAGATATTCTCCAAAAAGAATGTAATGCCAATAGCTATAGGATCCTAGCTACTATGCCCATTTCCATTAAGCTGTGCAGTGGGAATAGCTCATGTGCGTTTGAAGTCAAACATGTTCCAAAGACTTGACAGTTACCAGACCTAAACTTCATAAAACATTTATAGGAAGTTTTAGGCACCTTCAATGAACTAGGAGACTTTTATCTTAGAGTTAGGATAGTGCAAAATCCTACTACACATAACTCAGGACTTGCATGCCAGCATTCCAGGAAGGATTGCAGCTCTTTTGAAGGAAGAGTTTGACCGTACTTCTTAATACGTTCTCTGCACTAAGAAAGTGTTCGGCATTCTGTCCATCCCCTTTCTATGTATTCAGCAATATATATATATATATACTGTATATATATATATATATATATATATATATATATACATATACAGTCAGGTCCAGAAATATTGGGACATCGACACAGTTCTAACATTTTTGGCTCTATACACCACCACAATGGATTTGAAATGAAATGAACAAAATGTGCTTTAACTGCAGACTGTCAGCTTTAATTTGAGGGTATTTACATCCAAATCAGGTGAACGGTGTAGGAATTACAACAGTTTGCATATGTGCCTCCCACTTGTTAAGGGACCAAAAGTAATGGGACAGAATAATAATCATAAATCAAACTTTCAATTTTTAATACTTGGTTGAAAATCCTTTGCAGTCAATTACAGCCTGAAGTCTGGAATGCATAGACATCACCAAATGCTGGGTTTCATCCTTGGTGACGCTCTGCCAGGCCTCTACTGCAACTGTCTTCACTTCCTGCTTGTTCTTGGGGCATTTTCCCTTCAGTTTTGTCTTCAGCAAGTGAAATGCATGCTCAATTGGATTCAGGTCAGGTGATTGACTTGGCCATTGCATAACATTCCACTTCTTTCCCTTAAAAAACTCTTTGGTTGCTTTTGCAGTATGCTTTGGGTCATTGTCCATCTGCACTGTGAAGCGGCGTCCAATGAGTTCTGAAGCATTTGGCTGAATATGAGCAGATAATATTGCCCGAAACACTTCAGAATTCATCCTGCTGCTTTTGTCAGCAGTCACATCATCAATAAATACAAGAGAACCAGTTCCATTGGCAGCCATACATGCCCACGCCATGACACTACCACCACCATGCTTCACTGATGAGGTGGTATGCTTAGGATCATGAGCAGTTCCTTTCCTTCTCCATACTCTTCTCTTCCCATCACTCTGGTACAAGTTGATCTTGGTCTCATCTGTCCATAGGATGTTGTTCCAGAACTGTGAAGGATTTTTTAGATGTCGTTTGGCAAACTCTAATCTGGCCTTCCTGTTTTTGAGGCTCACCAATGGTTTACATCTTGTGGTGAACCCTCCATATTCACTCTGGTGAAGTCTTCTCTTGATTGTTGACTTTGACACACATACACCTACCTCCTGGAGAGTGTTCTTGATCTGGCCAACTGTTGTGAAGGGTGCTTTCTTCACCAGGGAAAGAATTCTTTGGTCATCCACCACAGTTGTTTTCTGTGGTCTTCCGGGTCTTTTGGTGTTGCTGAGCTTACCGGTGCGTTCCTTCTTTTTAAGAATGTTCCAAACAGTTGTTTTGGCCACACCTAATGTTTTTGCTATCTCTCTGATGGGTTTGTTTTGTTTTTTCAGCCTAATGATGGCTTGCTTTACTGATAGTGACAGCTCTTTGGATCTCATCTTGAGAGTTGACAGCAACAGATTCCAAATGCAAATAGCACACTTGAAATGAACTCTGGACCTTTTATCTGCTCATTGTAATTGGGGTAATGAGGGAATAACACACACCTGGCCATGGAACAGCTGAGAAGCCAATTGTCCCATTACTTTTGTTCCCTTAACAAGTGGGAGGCATATATGCAAACTGTTGTAATTTCTACACCGTTCACCTGATTTGGATGTAAATACCCTCAAATTAAAGCTGACAGTCTGCAGTTAAAGCAAATCTTGTTCGTTTCATTTCAAATCCGTTGTGGTGGTGTATAGAGCCAAAAATGTTAGAATTGTGTCCATGTCCCAATATTTCTGGACCTGACTGTATATATATATATATATTATATATATATATATATATATATATATATATATATATATATTGTATTTCTTTTAACTGCTTATATACTGAAAGAGGGTAATTGTTGACATGTGATGATATATATGTGTTGTAAAGGTTAATAGGCCCTTATAGTTGATAACTTTAAATGAGGCATTTACTGCAGACTTCAGATTACTCTGCTATTAATCTCTCTGTGTACATAGAGTAAAAAAGAAATCGCTATCACTACTGATAAAATTCCAGTCAACTGCTGAAGAAACCTGAGAGCAGTTGTAGTAAATTTATTACTACATTTGTCAGTGTATGCAATTATTGTGTAAGTGTATTATTTGTGCAGGAATTCCTGTCTTTGAGTCAAGCTCCTGCAATACAAGTAAATAATAGAAACTCTTCTCCACCACTGAATTGTGGTAGAACATTTCATAATTTGCACTGCTGGGAGCATATTCTATTCTCCCAGCATAAATAGTGGATCAGTTACCACAAAGGATCACTGATCAGTTTGCTATTTTGTTCATATACTGGCAAAGCAGCCACCAAACAGGACCAGTGCTTCTTTACCCTAGGTAGCCTCCAGCTACCTAGTGGGACCCAATAAAAATTCTGCTTTTAATATTATGGGGGATTGTGGGATAAGAATCCCTGCCTGTTATTGGCCAAATAAAGAAGCAGTATATTTCAACATTAGGGGTTATCATTTGGGGAATTCAAATAATCCCCTAAGGTGGTAAGGCCAGAGGTCACCCCTGTAGCAGGGAGTGTGGAACTCCTTTCTGGATGACCTAGAAATAAAGTGATCTTTTGGACCTCTTATCCAGTTTCCAGATGAACCAATTTAGTTTTCACACCATGTCACCTCTTGGCCACAAGGCTGACTTTTCAGCAAATTGAGTGATTGCCTTACACATCTGTGTTCAAATCCCACCTGAGACACTGCACAACATAAACATGTTTGTCCACAATTTTTAAAGATATGAAAACCAAATATGTGAAAAGAATACTCATGTCTATTAGTGTGTCTCAGTCATGCAGGCACTGCAAAGATTCTGAGATTTTAATAGTTGGGGGATCAAAAGGTCAGTTCAGGTCTATTTTTGAGTTTGCGGGTGGAAGCTTGGTCTTGGCTTAAAGTGTTACTAATACCAGGGCCCTGCATTCACTATATCTGGTCTCCCACAGTACACAAAACACAGAAATGCAATTATTTTAGTAAATATAAACTGCTAAATACCTTTTCTCATCTTGTGACTTCTATCAGTGTCCAGTAGAGCACATGTTAAAGCTTAGTAATACACATCAAACTGAGCATGTGCAGCTTGCCCCCAAGGCTCTGTTCTATCAGCAGATGGATTGGGGACATTAGAGGAAGGGGAGGATCAGAGAAGACAAGATCAAAAAGCCTTTTTACACAATGCGGAGGATTAACCCCTTAGGTTCCACAGTGAGTATAACAAGCATGCTTTACTGCATATACAGACTAATTTTACTGTTGGTGGTTTAGTAACACTTTGATAGCAAGCCTTATTTATATGTCAGTGACTCTGGCAAAATGATTTCTGTATCTGACTTTCTAACTTTTCTGCACCGTAGTCATTAGGACACTGTGTAATTTATGACAAGAGGGCAAAGGTGGTAAACTGTAATGAGAAGACATTAACGAAGGAGTAACCAAAGACTATAGGGTACTACTGGGATATTAAATCTGTTACTATTATCTGTTAACGGAAATATCAATTTAGTTTGTACAGATGTTTGTTGTGCCTTTCTGTCCAGCAGTATATGTTATAACTGTGCAACATTTCCGAACTCTACCACTCATACACTTACTTCAGTGATTATGGTGGAAATGAACTCATTCTGATCATACTCCCAACCATTTGTGCAGGATCTTGTTTCTGCATCCGTAGTATTATGCCATGTGTTGTTGGAATCCACCATTCTCCACTGTACTTCAACAAACTCCAGACATGACTCAGGTCTCCCCTGATCATCCAGTGGTATGAAGTCCCCCACCCAGCCATCACTGTCAGTACTGCTGTTAACAACCCCAGTGTCATTTATTTTGCATTTGTGGCTTGGAATTGCAGCACTAAAGTTCTGGAGAAGGTTATGGCTGGCCATCAACAATATGGGAATGCATAGCAATATAACTTGTGTGATCTGGAAGCGTCCCATGCCTCCAGCTTTCTCCAAAAGATCTGCAAATGCCATGACTGATAACTCAACTTTGACCTCCCTAATCACTTTCACCACCCAAATATGGAAAAAAAAAGTCTTTATTTTAACTGTAGATAAAGTTGTTTTTCCTCTTGAGATTGGACTTCAACAATACGTTTTCCACAGCACAGCACAGAGGACAGAACAATGCTGGAGAAAATTCACTGTTCTATATTCTGTTTTCTGAGGAACTCATGCCAGCATTTCCACAGGCATTCTTAAACAGGATTATAATGAAATCCTCTCTTCCCGCTTAGAATTATGTTCTTTATTCTTTGAGCATTGGAAACCCTTATAAAAACTCTTTGATAAGCACTGTAGTTTCATAGATAATCTTTGAATTTTCTTTAGATTTTCATCACACTGTAATGGGCATTCATAATTTTGTTTTCCGCACCAAATTAGTCAAAATATCGCGTTCAGTGCTTGAGTTAATGTTTTGTCTTGGAAAGTAGTTTCCTTTGTTAACCTTTTCAGCGTCAAGGCGGTGACTTTCTTCGTTTATCAAATATCTTTCTTCTTGGAAAAAAGATGATTAAGGATTGCGGTCAGTTGCTTGAAAATATCAAAATAAATTAGTTCAACTAAATCACAAAACATAGAACATGATTAATCCAACAGTGTATATATATGTATATATATATATATATATATATATATATATATATAAGCTCTGTGAGAATGCATTACTTAAAGTGTATGTCAAAGAACAATTGTTTTCATAGTTTTGCATAGAGTGGAGAAGGATTAGAACCTCTGTCTGGTTTTTACAGCTGATAGCAGGCTGGAAGTGAGGGGATCTTCCAACACAGGAACATAGGAAAAAATAAAAAAACATTTAGGGGAAGGTTAGAATCCCTGTCAGATTTGTATTTCTATCAATCAGGGGGTAGAGGTTTTTTGGCACCAAAGAATATCTCACAAAATATCACAAGTTAATAAAGAACATTGGAGGACCCTACCTTAGAATATACTTTTTTTTTTTTTTTGCACCTAAGTTCTAAAATTAAGGTCACTGTGTTAGTTATAATAATGTAAAACGGAGATTGGGGATTTCTTTTTTTTGGGTGGGTGGTGGTGGGGGGGATACAGCACCAAACACATTAATTAGTATATGTGTAATCAGGGCTTTTTTTCTCAGAGAATAGATGCAGGAACTCCCCCCTTCTACGTCGCTTCTTGTCTCTGCCCCCTACGCACCTTTGAACGCTGTCTCTTGGTTCTACCACTTACCCCACCTCCCAGTACTGCTGCTTTTAGAGAACATAGAGCTCAGTAGTATCATTTTGTGTTGCTACATAATTTGTATTGACTTTGATAATGATAACAATAAAAGCAATAAAGTAGATCCCCCAAACATCCCCTTGCCAATAAATAGATTCAGAGATGGAGGTGCCAGAACTGCATTCTCCTGTGTTCCCTGCTACAAAAAAAAGCCCTGTGTGTAATGATATGTATCCCATTGTCTGCAAGCTGCTGCTCCTGCTAAGATTTTCCAGTCAACAGCAGCCTCTGCTACTGAGCAAAGCTGCACCACTCACCTCCTTCTGCACTCACAGTCATACATGTTACTCTTGATACTACTCTCCAACAATGCATCGCATCCTGTGAATGGGAAGTGATACTGTCATTCAACCTCTATTTAACCATTTGACCTCCAGAAGGTTTCACCCCCTTCATGACCAGGGCATTTTTTTGGCTATTCAGCACTGTGCTACTTTAACTGGCATTTCTGGATCATAAAACACTGTACCCAAATGAAATGTATATTATTTTTTCAACACAAATAGAGCTTTATTTCAGTGGTATTAAATCACTACTGGGTTTTTTATTTTATGTTACATAAGCAAAAAAATACCAAAAGTTTTTAAAACAAATGCGTTTTTCTTAGTTATAAAGTCTTGCAAATATTTAATCTTTCTTCAAAAAATTTTGGCCAAAATGTATTCTGCTACATTTCTTTGGCAAAAATAACCCAAATCGGTGTATATTATTTAGTGTATGTGAAAGTTATAGAGCCCACAAATTATGGTATATACAGGTGAAACTCGAAAAATTAGAATATCGTGCAAAAGTTAATTTATTTCAGTAATGTAACTTAAAAGGTGAAACTAATATATGAGATAGACTGATTACATGCAAAGCAAGATAGTTCAAGCCGTGATTTGTCATAACTGTGATGATTATGGCTTACAGCTCATGAAAACCCCAAATCCACAATCTCAGAAAATTAGAATATTACATGCAATCAATAAAACAAGGATTGTACATAGAACAATATTGGACCTCTGAAAAGTATAAGCATGCATATGTACTCAGTACTTGGTTTGGGCCCCTTTTGCAGCAATTACTGCCTCAATGCGGAGTGGCATGGAAGCTATCAGCCTGTGGCACTGCTGAGGTGTTATGGAAGACCAGGATGCTTCAATAGCGGCCTTCAGCTCTTCTACATTGTTCGGTCTCATGTCTCTCATCTTTCTCTTGGCAATGCCCCATAGATTCTCTATGGGGTTCAGGTCAGGCGAGTTTGCTGGCCAATCAAGCACAGTAATCCCACGGTCATTGAACCAGGTTTTGGTGCTTTTGGCAGTGTGGGCAGGTGCCAAGTCCTGCTGGAAAATGAATTCAGCATCCCCATAAAGCTCATCTGCTGAAGGAAGCATGAAGTGCTCCAAAATCTCCCGGTAGACGGCTGCATTGACCCTGGACTTAATGAAGCACAGTGGACCAACACCAGCAGATGACATGGCTCCCCAAATCAACACAGACTGTGGAAACCTCACACTGGACTTCAAGCATCTTGCAGTGTGTGCCTCTCCATTCTTCCTCCATACTCTGGGTCCTTGGTTTCCAAATGAGATGCCAAAGTTACTCTCATCAGAAAAGAGGACTTTGGACCACTGAGCAACAGACCAGGTCTGTTTTTCATTAGCCCAGGTAAGACACTTCTGACGTTGTTTGTTGTTCAGGAGCGGCTTGACAAGAGGAATATGGCATTTGAAGCCCATGTCCAGGATCCGTCTGTGTGTGGTGGCTCTTGATTCACTGATTCCTGCCTCTGTCCACTCCTTGTGAAAGTCCCCAACACTTTTGAATGGCTTTTTCCTGACAATCCTCTCCAGGCTGCGGTCATTCCTGCTGCTTGTGCACTTTTGTCTTCCACACTTTTCCCTTCCACATAACTTTCTATTAATGTGCTTTGATACAGCACTTTGGGAACATCCAACTTCTTTTGAGGCTTTCCCTCCTTATGGAGGGTGTCAATGTTGGTTTTCTGCACAACTGTCAGGTCAGCAGTCTTTCCCATGATTGTGATTCCTACTGAACCAGAATGAGAGACCATTTAAAGGCTCAGGAACCCTTTGCAGATGTTATGGCTTAATTAGCTGATTAGAGTGGGACACTTTGAGCCTAGAATATTGCACCTTTTCACAATATTCTAATTTTCTGAGAATGTGGATTTGGGGTTTTCATGAGCTGTAAGCCATAATCATCACAATTATCTATCTCATATATTAGTTTCACCTTTTAAGTTGCATTACTGAAATAAATGAACTTTTGCATGATATTCAAATTTTTTGAGTTTCACCTGTATATCTGAAAATCAATCAATTTTGATGTACTGATGGCCTATTTCATATTTTGAGGCCCAAAAATGCCAGGACAGTACAAATATCCCCCAAATGACCCCTTTTTGGAAAGTAGAAAGTCCAAGGTATTTAGTAAGAGGCATGTTGAGTTTTTTAAAGTTTTAATTTTTTGTCATAATTTAAAAAAATGTAAGAAACACCATTTTTTTTCAAAATTCCAATGCAGTACAGCATCATCATATACCAGGTGTGGCTGTAATTAGGGTTACAGACTAGTGACAGTAACTAAAAAAAGACATTTTTTAAAACCTTTCTTTTTTTTTTTTTTACATAATTTCGTCAGAGTAGTTTAATGTCACCATAGTGACAGCAGATGATCTGGGATTTTTTTTTTACATTGTCTTTGCTTATACAGTAAAGATCACAGTATAAGCAATAGTTTTAGCTGTCACGAATCATGAGCTAACATTCATGAACGGCTTGCTTATTGTTGTGATCTGTGATTGGCTATAGCTAATCACATGGTACAGGTAGCAAGGTACCATGTGATTACTCTGGGCCAGATTACAGCTGTAAGCAAATGTTCATGAATGGAAATCCATTCATGCCAGTTTGTTTACATTGTTATCACGTTATTGCTGTGATTGGTCATCACAATCACATGATACCCCAGCAGCTCTTAGTGGCAGGCTACCGAGCACTGTGACCTGCTGTGTATGCCATCCTGCCGCAGTAACATTACTGTGAGCAGGTTGGCAAGAGGTAAAGAGTATTTTGTATTGTCAGAGAATAGTACGTTTTGTGAATGGCAACCAGGGCAGAAGGCGTTGGCAGACAAAGAAACCTTTCTCAGTAGCAGCTGCAGCTGAAGATAGTCGCTCAGACAAGCCTCTGGCGGCTATGACGGAGACACCCACTATAAAACTTTTTCCTAGAAGTACTCACATGCAGGTAATAGGATAAACACCATTATACGTAACTAATGTGCTTTGTGCTCTATCTCCCCAAAAAAATCCTTCACCTTTGAAAAATTTTGTCCTGATAAAAATATGTAGGCTGCCATGCCGGTACGTTGGCTTCAAAATCTTTTATGTTACCTACCTGGGACAATTATCCACATTAGGAGTTCTGACTTTATAACTGTTCTGGGTCTGTGACTGAAAATGTATAGAGCCAGATACAGCCAGGCAACAAGCATTTTCATAAGAAGGACAATAAGGACAGCCATTTGTCTCATAGCAGATCTATTTTAAGGGTTTTTTTTGGCTCTGTTGGATATGAAAGCAAGCTACCTACACCCTCATTATTCAAGATCACCCTACGTATATATATATATATATATATGCAGAGGTGCCCTTCCTGCATTCTCACTTGCCATTGACAAGGTCTGTGAATATAACATTT